AGGACTGTTGCTGTTATTATCGGTAGTATTGCTATTAATATGAATTATTACCATTGTCATGAGTCGCATTATTATCATCATCGCCATCATTTTTAATCATGGTTGTTACGGGGTTTTAGTCTTGGTGTTGTTATTCTGCTTCATTCTATTGGTATTGTTATTGGCAGTTGTCATGGTTTTCTTCTTACTATCACTGTTACGGTTATTCTTGCTCTGACTATGCTGGCCAGTTTTTCTTGCTCGAGAGTCCTGAAATTCAGGGTTGCAGCAAGTCTGAGAGAGTTGGATATAAGCGCCTGAGTACTTGCCACTATTGTTTTTTTACGGTTTTTATCATAAACTACAAGTTACCATTTCCCATAGGGAGCCCTAAGTGATAATAACGATTACAAGCGTTGTATACTGTGCCTCAACGCCTCAGTCCCAGGTTTTAGCTTGCCTGTATAAAGGATCCTTGGGTTCGCGACATGCACCTGCGCTGTACAGAAAGGATTGCCTTTGTAATGTCTGGCTGCGAAACTTGCAGCGGCTTGGTTTTAGTGTAGCCTCTGTGGCAACGATGGCGGGCGACATCCTCGGGCATGGACGTCGAAGGAATCCTCTCAAATGCAAAGGTAGCGGAGCCTTCCGATGATCTCCTAAACCCTAAACCCCTAAACCCCTAAACCCTAAACCCTGAACCCTGAACCCTTGACTGTCCGGGCCTGTTCAAGCTTCAGCCCTTCCCTACTACAATGGCGCGCTTGGGGTTTATCGCCTGGGGTATAGTGTTTAGGGCCCTTGGGTTTAGGGCTCCTAGCACCATGAGCCTTAAAGCTATAATATTACCTATATTATTTTTGGGGATTCCCTATTATGTTTATAGTATAGCATACCCCAAAACCCCATTCTCATGAGTAAGGCCCCTATATTACGTCAGAATACAGAGCCCGAGCGTGGCCCCGCATCAGCCACCGCTTGCAGAATGCATTCGGTGGCCGCTTTGGCTGAACCTCGGAAGTGGTTGCTTTGACAGATTGACAGCTACTTTGCCTTGAAGTCGGGAAGTGCAGTACATTTAACCCTAAGCCCTAAACCCTAAATTTAAGTTTTTGAGGAGTTGGGGAGTCTTGAAGCCGAAAGTGTGGCACGCTGTTACGTTTCAGGTGTTGAAGCTCGGCCAAAGTTGCAGTTTGTTTGGGGTCTTGTGGGTCTTTGAGGCCTTCGGTATGCATATGATGTGCATGCTCATGAGGGTTATATCCCGGTGTTGAATGGAAGTTGTCAAGATCCTCTTGGATTCTTGTTTCGGGTGTGCTAGGAGCGAATCTACGGCGAAGCGCACCTTCATTGAACCCAAAGGTGCTAAACCCTGCACCCTCAAAGTTCTGAACTGGTTTTCCACACACACACACACGCATGTATGTATGTATGTATATATATATATATATGTATATCATTCTTTGGCGCCAACCCGTCCGATGCTCAGCTTCCCTCTAGAGTCCCTGGAGACACGGGTGCCTTGCCAGAGTCGCAACGGCAGTGGTCAAACTTCTGGGTGCCCTGGCGCGCTTCTAAGGAAAAACTCTCCGCGGGCATGAGGGTAGGTCGGCCACCTTTCCCTCCACAGGACATGCATTCGAAAGATCACCCCTTAACCCTAAACCTTAAACCCCTAAACCCTACCCTTCACCCTAAAAGGCTTAAGCACAAAGTCTCAAACGCCACAGCCTAGTATGTCTAAGCCTTGCAACCCTCGAGAGTCCCCTTCATAAAGGGGCCGGGATCATTGGTTTAGGGTTTAGGGTTTAGGGTTGAGGGTTTCGGGTTTAGGGTTTAGGGTATAGATGTGTGTTTTCTTTAGTCTAGGATGGGTTCCCTAAACCTTAAACCCCTCCCCACCTCGGGCTTTGGATCGCAAGAGACAAAAAGGGCCCTTCAACAAAAGAAACAAAACAACCCTAAGCCCTAAACCCTCAACCCCCAACAACCAAGTTCTCAAAACTTTCAAGCCTAGGCCAAGCGCTCCGCAGCTCGAATCATCGAGGGCAGTTTTCTAAAGTAGGGTCCCTTCCAATGTGCTTTGTAAAAGGTTGCCACATTCTGTTGGGTTCCTAACCAAGGACCCTGATGTACAGAATTACCCATGTGATTCACATATCCCCACGCCCAACTAATAGATATATATATATATATATATGTATATATATATATAGTACGGCGGGAGGCCTCCTCTTTTTGAGGATCTGGTAGTAACCCCAGAGAACAATGTGCAAAAGGGGGCGGGATGGAATGTGGAGCCCCTAAACCACTTCCGTCGGAGTATGTCGGAGTCAACTCCTGACCTCAGTCCAACATCTTGGTGTGGCTCCGACGATCACCGATGTCAGACACTGTTGATCATCATCATAGTCATAGGATACAACGTGGGCGCCTGGTACTTCAAGCGGCGACAGATGGACATGCCTTCCGTTCTACCGATCCTTGCGTCAAACATCTTCAGAGACACTCCATGGAATCCGCTTGACATCTGGACACGAGGTTCTGCCAGCCATTGGTGGGGAGGTGGTATTATTTATCTAGGAGAGGTGATCCTGCAAAGATAAAAGCATCGGGTATCGAAATTTAGCAGTTTTGATGCTCGAGCTGTACATGTCAAACATTGAACACCAGCGCTGCAGAACTTTCTTGGGCGCTGGAAACCGTACGCCGTATGCACCGTTCAGGGTGGAGGTTGCAGGGTGCACAGCGACTTCAACTGGGACGATCTTCGAAAGCTATGCTCCTTACCAGCGTTTCCCGGCAGATACATCCCCAGCATGGCGACATCTGTGATCGGTTGTGATAGGTACTCCTAAGCCAAAGACTTTACCAGAAAAAGACAGCAGCCGGAAGACTGGGCAACTGACTCTGATCTGCCTCGGTTGGGTGCCTATGTGTCAGTGACTTTGTGCTGTTTCGACAGGATTGCGCACCATGCAGTTTCATGCAGCCGTTTCTAGCTGATGTTTTGCTTTAAGGTCTTGAGCTCTATCACGGCTGTTTCCTCGCCGGTGTCCTGCTCCCCCGCTTCCTCTTCGGAGTCCGAAATGGAGGTCCCATGTCCAAACAAGTTTTTTCGCAGCACTGTTTGATGAGAGGCTGTTGCAACGATGCTTTCCAGGATTGCGACAGCTCATTAGCGACTCGCGAGCCATGCTCGCCGCGGGAGCCCTGGCATGACAAGGGCGGGCGGGGAAGGACCGGAGGACCGGAGCACTGTATCTGCTAGTGCCCCGAGAGGAAGCCCGCCATCTTGGATTCTGGCTTCTGTAGAGCCTATGCTGAATTCCAGTGCAACGTTTTTGCTAGCTCGGACTTCTACGTCCTCCGTTTCTGCTTTGCTGAGGTGTCTTCCGCATGGTTCCCATCCGAGCTCTTGAGGGCTTCTGGTCTTGCTTTACTGCCGATGCTGGCCCGTTTACTGCTTCATCTGTTCCTTTGCCCCAGACACCGCCGTCTGAATGCTTCGGGGCTTCTGGTCGTGCTGTGCTGGTGAAACTTAAGCAGCCCCTGCGCTACACGCTAGACAATTTACTGAACTGCTTCATCTGAAATTCCTTCGCCCCACACACCGAGAGAACTTTCGATGGCTGCTGTGACTGGTTGGTGAAACTTACTACACAATTGTTGATCCCGGTAGCAGGAAGGCATGGCAGGGCTGTTGGCTAAGGCCACTGCTCTGATTCTTGTGCTTCCGGAAGACTGCTACACGCCTGTCGTTTCAGTGCCAGTTGCGTTTTGCTGTCGAACCTTGCTTACCCTGCGCTAATCTGGCCACCTCAGGATTCTTGGGATGACAATTTGCCGGCTCCGAGAACCCCGTCGCCGCTGCTCGTGACTCGGCTCTTTACTAGCCGGCAGCATGGATCGTCTTGAAGCATCTTGAAGCTGTTGCTGTAGGCTGTCGATGTGGCACTCTTGTCTAGGCTGCTCTGCCCCCTCTGCTTCGGACGCCTCCCGGGCCGCCGACTCCAGCAGCTTTGCCTGCCAGCAGGCTGCCCGAGGATCGTGTGTTCCACAGGATTCCTCCGGGGTCACCTCCAACCACGCGCATGGCTGCGGTGCGAAAGCAATTTCATCACAGGAGTTCAGCCGAGGGGTTTACAACAAGTTCATGGAAGCGGCAGCTTCGCCGTCGACGGAGTTTCCAGCCAGCGCCAGCGCACCCCCATTCCCTGACCCAGCACCTTCTGATCCTGTTTCGGCCTGTCCGGGCACTACTGCCGCCGCCCCAGACCGGAACAGGAACCCATTCTACAGAATGGCTTAAAGCCGAGGGGTGCTACCGATGCTCCGCTCGTTATGACCCAGCCACCAGATCCGATGCCTTACAGTTTAATTAACATGTTGCCTTTCCACGTCGGGTTCGCAACCCTTGCAGTCCCAAGACCGGATGGGCGAGTGCCGTCAGGTGAAGCCACCTTGCAATGCGATGTCGGAATGGTCTCTTACAAGCATTTTTGGTTGTAGATGGTGGAGCACTTGCTGGGCGTTGCCGTGAAGCTTTGATTTGAATTTGGTTTGGTTTGTGATGCCTACAATCCTGAAGATTAAAGAGGCCTTCTTGAAGCTGCTGCGTGACATAATTCGTGACTCACCAAAACTGCTGCCGACAGGGGACGACACAGTTGTCTAGTGCTGGAACCTATGTACAGCGATATCCCTCCCGCGCCGACTGCGCAGATGAGGCCGCGAGCAGGCAAAATACCTGTGCTGCGCTGCACCATGTCCGGGTGAAGAGCTGTATTCACATGCCGGGATTCCCATACGGCCCACCTAGTCCGGAGGGTCCTTTATACATGAGTTGTTCCTCGGTGATCCTGCAATCAGTAGTGTATAACGGTGGGGGGCCGGGTTAGGCGTGGGATATGCGTATGCTTATTCCTTAGGGCTCCATGTCAGCATCATTGAAGCACTTTTTTCATCAGTACAGTAAAGCTCCATTTTCGGACAGCGACTCGGGCAAACCGATGTCACAGGACGCATGCCTCGAGCAAGGGCAAAAGAAGGACGTCGAAGGCACGCAGCCTAGTTTCGGGGGACCATGAGCGTCATTATAAGGGGACGTCGGGGTTTAGGGGTACAATATTTACTTCACTATGCTTATCAGTCCAAGGGTCATGAGGAGATTTGGTTTAGGGGTACAATATTTACTTCTCTATGCTTATCAGTCCAAGGGTCATGAGAAGATTTCGAGATTTAGTTTGCAGGGATTTATCACAGCATCGGCACCATGATCGAAACCAATCTTCCTGGACAGTCTCCCCAGCATCAGGGTTTGTTGCTCATGGAGTTGTGCGAGTTTGTTGTCAGAAGCTGAGATAGGCTCGCTCGTGCGACTGTTGCACTTGAACAGCTTGAGTCTTGAGCGGCTTGAACTCGCTTGGGCCTTGCGGTGGACGATACAGAGCCAGTTTCCTTGGTTGCCACGGACGGACGTGCAAGGTGCCCGAGTTTACCCGTGGCTTTTGACGAAAGGCCGCGATTCCAAGGATCTGCAAGATGCGGATGTGAAGCTGTTCACAGCGATTGCTGGTGTTCCCTTTGTTTCCAAGCTGCGGCAAAAGCGGGCTCCAGACACAAAACCCAGCAAAGTGAAGGCAGCGGCGATCGAGGAAGAGCAGGATAGCAAGAAGCAAACCGCCAAGAGCAAGGCGAACTCCAAGACGAAGGCACAGTCAGGCAATAGGACAGCACAAGGCAGGAATGACATGGGGTTGTGGAATACCAGGGCTCCCTTGATAAACCTAAAACCCTTGATAAATCCCCGTAGACTTTGTAGGAATATTAGGGCAGACGGTGCTCGGATGCTTTGTTGACTTACTCAGCGGGGGGTAGTAAGGAGGGCTGCACGCCCAGACCCCTGGGGGTATCCAAGAGGCAGCTCCCTTTAGTGGGTTCCTACAGTACGTTTACGATCATAAGCTGCCAAAATAGGAGAGGTATTTTTTGAGATTTTCCAGGCGATCTGGGAAGTGTTTGTAGGGGTTATTCAGTAGACTCCAATTGGCTCCCACTAGGTTCAAAGAGCCTCCAACTGCTACAACCATGGGTCGAAGGTGTAGTGGTTTAAGGATGCTGTAGGGTGAGCTTTGGCACGCAGGGGCTTGAGTTGAGCTGTTTTGGTGCAGGACTTTTGGACTATCTTGTTGAACGAGGTTGTGAGGGAATGATTTGCCAGCAGGATTACTTCGATCCTTCGTGTGTTCGCTTGGCCTTCCTGACCCGACTCAATACCGCGCATACGCCATACGCCATATGCCTGTTACAAATTCTTGAACCCAAAATAAGTTCTTTGTAATGGTTCAGTTTGCCCAAAGCAGACTTGAAGATTCGAGGTGAGCATCGGATGCCTGCAGTTGCGAAACCTTAGCCCCAAACTTCAAAATCCATCCCGGGTCGTGAGAGCTGTGCGATTGGAGTCTTTGCAAAATCTGGCAGAGATTTCGGAAACAGCCCTGGTATTGAAAATGCTTCAAGTTGAGACCCTATAACCAAATAAACTTGAAAAACCAGAGCCCAATCCCAACAACCTGAAACCCTAAACCCTGATGTCAGAGTCTTTCTTTGGGCGTCGCACTTTGCAGGGCACGCTCGACACCCACAGCTTTGCTGAAGGCCTGCTTTTTCGAGGCGGGCGCTTCAGAAAGCAAGGGCAAGGGACCTCAAAGAAGGTACCCCTGTTTCAGAAACTTGAGTGGGTGTGGCCCCGCATTCGGTGCTCATCATTTGGGTTCAGAAACAGCGAGTTCCTTGGGCAAGGTAGTCTTTGGGCGATCCAAGAAAGGAGCCTTAATCCGAAGAACTAGGAGCACGGCTAACCGTGGTATGCTAGTTAACCCTGCGATGGGTACCAAACTTAGGACGCTTTAAATTAAATCCTATAAACCCCAAAACCCTGGCCCTAAACCCTAAACCCTTCAAGCACTAAGCCCTATAAACTATAAACCCTAAGCCCTGAGCCCGGACAGGTTCGCTGGAGCAGAAACTTCAGCCCCCGCCGAAGGACACGCCCGGATCCCTGCGTTCCTGTTTGGGGTTTCAGAGACCGGGGCCCTGAACCCTGAATGAAAGGGTTGAGGGTTTCGGTTTTAGGGTTTAAGGTTTAGGGTTGAGGGTTGCGGGTTTAAGGTTTAATTAGGTTTTTAGGAGTTTTTAGGGTTTAGGGTAAGAGGTTGAGGGTGCTCAAGTCTAAAGGGCTCAGTGATAGCGTAGTCAAGCGGCGTTCCGTAGAAATAGGCTCGAATACCCCTATTAAGCCCTGAACCTTAGTAAGTCTTTCAGGCTCAAAGGCTGGGATCAGGGCTTTGTATGGCCTATTCCAGGAAGCATACCCCTCCCCCCACAACAGCCCTGATGAGTTTAACCTAAACCCTAAACCCTAAACCCTAAACCCTAAACCCTAAACCCTAAACCCCTAAACCCTAAACCCTAAACCCTAAGCCCCAAATCCTCTGAGTTTGGGAAGTGCTGGAATCCTCAAACCCGAAACCCCTTCCCCTGTAAGGGTCCTTCGAAGATTCTGACTTTAGGAAGTGAAGACATCCCTAAACCCTAAACCCCGGGTCCGGGTTTAGGGTTTAGGGGGTTCAGGGTTTAGGGATGTTTTTCGACATCTTTTGGACCCTAAACCCTAAACCCTTGGTCAAGTGAAGTCAAGGATAACGGCAAGGCAGGTGGCACGGTTATGAAGTCGGACCATTTTTGATTGCAAGGCAAAGCTTTTCGGGTTGATTCATGTTACACTGCAACACGAAAGGCTGATCGGCGAGATTGGGCGTAGAGCTCACGGCTTATAGGCTTTAAGGATTGTGACATTGTAGGCCGTATGGCTAGGGGCCTACAGGATTTAGGGTAGAAGAAGCGTAAACCTCTAAAGGAAACCTCAGGCCAAAGCCGGCAAAAGAAATAAGAAGCTAAACCCTAAACCCTAACCCTAAACCCTAAACCCCAAACCCTAAACCCTAGACCCTAAACCCTCAACCCTAAACCCTGAAGGAGCTCTTTGATGCTCTGAAAGGGGCCAATGCGGAGGCAGTCCCTCCGGCCACACCGGTGCAGGCCTCGCTTGGCTTTTGTTGCTAAAGGCTCAGGGATTTAGGGTTGGGGGTCGGGTGTTTACAGGCTTGCGGTTTGATTTGGTGTACAGTTTCACTGCTTGTGAAAAACTTTCAGATCCTATTTTCGTCATGGCCAGACGGCCTCGGCCCGTCTCGCAGGGTTTTAAGGTTGAGGGCTCGGTTCAGGCGCGACTCCTGCTGGGTCCAGTCTACCGCCCTCACTTTTAGTACAAGTTAGTAATAGTCATACCAAGAGTAGCAGCAATAGTAAAAGGAGTAGTAGTACATTCGTCTTATCTTTGATACTACTGCTGCTGCCCCTACCCCTGCTCTTGCTGTTCTTACCTCTATATAGTCTCGGCTGCTGTTGCTATCAATACTTCCACAGGAATCACAAATTTTTCTTTTCGTGTAAACAGAAACCCTCAAGCAACCCTAAACCCTAAACCTGTTACCTAAGGGTCCATGTACCCAAATAGTATATACATTGGCCTTAATGTAGTCCCTATATAGGTACTTTAGGGCCCATGTATATGCTATATGAATACATGGACCCTTGGGGGTTACCTTCCAGGCTCTCGATCTCGCATGGCCGGAGCGTAGCGACGACATCGCCATCTGTCGAGGACTGATGCTATGATGAGAGCGAATGCAGTTTGTACTTACGGGTTTCACGGATTGGTGTCCGGGGTGCGGGGTGTTGGATCACGTGTTCATGAGATGTCACGATGTGCAGGACATGGTGCGGGGTTTGGGTGCGATTCCTTGCGCGATTTGCCGGAAGCCGTTTTAGAGGGATGGTCCCAGGCCTCAAACACCCAGCGGTTAGAGCTTAGATGTCACGTCGAAGATTTCAGATACTGTCATAAATTTAATCATTTTGATTGCTAGTGAGAACCTCAGCAGAGTGCTACCCCAAGCAACATTCCCCAGAGCACATGGACTCTCGCCTTCGGAGATCTTTTCGCCAGTGCACACAGACCTTGGCCCCCTAAACCCTAGACACCCCCCAAGCCATAGGCCTGAACTTACTTCGAACTCTCGACTCTGCACTGCATTTCTGCTCGGAAGATAAAGCTCATGTTGCTTAAGTTGATGTAACAACTTAGCATGCTCGTCAACAGGTATTTGTTGTCTTGGTATTTGTCCCTGTTTGCTTCTACATCTGTTCTTATCCAGGCTCATTTACTGAACAGTCGGAGGGGTTGGGGTTCAGGCTGCTGTCAAGGCTTAGCGTTTGCAAACATAGCCTTCGGGTATCACCTCTTTGCTGCATAGTGGCACGGTGCGCGTGTTGGGTACTTTCCTCATGAGATCTTGGACACTGAATCCCACGACCATGGTGACATCAACGGTGAAGAGCAGTAGTAGCAAAAAGTTTCGCTTCATACCGGCAACACGGGAGTCAGAAGTAGCAAGGCTAGTCAGGAGTACCTCAACCCTAAACCCAAAACCCTCTTCCTTCTGGTGAGAACCTCACGGGGCTCCTGCGGTGCGCCACCCTAAACCACAGACCCTAAACCACAGACCCTGAACCCCGAACCCTAAACCCTAAACCCTAAACCCTAAACCCTAAACCCTAAACCCTAAACCCTAAACCCTAAACCCTAAAACCAACAACCTCGACCCTGGACTGAACGAACTCGAATGCAAAAGCCTCCTGGTAATATAGGGGCCTTAATAAGTAGAAGAGGGTTCCTTTAAATGGGGTACTATAGAGGGAGGGTATTATAAGGAATTTAATATAGGGGCCTTAAATAATTAGGATAGGGTTTTGGGTCTCAAGATACTATAGCTATAATAAAGAACCCCCCCAACATAGTATAGGTAATTATTTAGGCCCCTACATTAGCCCCTTATAAAGCCTTATAAAGCCCTATAGTAAACCACATGTTACCCTTATCGTAATACTTGTTTTAATTCAGAATAGAATCCTATAGTAACCCTGATATACACCGCTTCGAGCAGTCCTTCTCTAAGCCCAGGAATCACTATGTCAAACCCTTCCCCTTTGCTGTTTGGAGGCCTGAAGGGTGGAAGCGACCAGCTCCCTAAGATGGGGAAGATCTTGGCGTCGGCCGAGGTTCGGCGTCATCCGCGTGTCCGAACATGGGTTTAGGGTTTAGAGTTTAGGGGGGGGGGGTGAGGGGGTTCAGGGGAACCACAAATCATGAGCCAAAGAAACTTACATACCGTAAGGGTCCATGTGCCTCATTTTTAGATTCTTTGCCCCTGCCTAAATAGGGACGGACTCTGTCAGTCCAAAGTATATATTGTTTGGGCACCTGGACCCTTACAGATACAGAGACCCACCCCTTAACCCAACAGCTTCCAATGTAGAAGTCTAAATAATCTCAGGGGCTCAGTAGGTAACCTTTAACCTTTTGGGGCTTATATGATCCTGCTATAATTCAAAAGGTTAACTTTTTTTGGGCTAGGGTACTCAGCCCCTATAAGTAATTGCCAGTAGAAGGCCCCAGGGTTTTTGGAATTTCGTAGGCAAGATCAAACTCCGAAGCTCTATGGCACATGTCATTCCTAGCTGCTCAGCATCTTGCCCATAGGCCCCATTGCAGTTCCTTTTTGGGGTTCATATCTAGAATCCTATAAGGTAATCCCAAAAAGGAACTATGGGTAGTCCTAGTCTGTCCCTCAACCCGAAACTTTGCCCTGAACCCTAAGACCCCTAAGACCCCTAGATCTTCAAAGCCACGCCTGGAACCGAGGCCATGCCACCGCAAACTCGAATCCGCCGTAAAGCTTCAACAACCCTACAAAGCCAAGGTAAGACTTTTGGGGCCTTAATAAGTACCTATATTATTTTAGAGGTTCCTTATTATAACTATACGTAGTATAGTGGCCCCAAAACCAAATTCTAATGATTAAGGCCTCTACATTGCTTTACAAACAGCTTTCCTGAACCCTTCATGGGGCAGGCGCGGGTGCAGTGCCTTCAGAAGTTCGCGAACCACGAAGCTCGCCTCGACGTTGAGTTCTCGGAAGTTTTGGGTTTGTGGGTTTTGGGGTTTCGGTTTAGGGTACCTTTTAGGGTACCTTGTGTTGAGGATCATACTAATTGAGATCTAGGTAAGTTTCGCGACTGAGGTTTTAGAAGTTTAGGGGTGCGTTATTTCATAGTGTGATAGGCTTCTGCCAGTATGTTATACGCGTTGCATATAGCGGTTTCTTGACATTCGGGGAACCTAACCTATGAGTCTTTATGAGGATCTTCTTCATTTTGTGTCGAGATTCGGGCATAGATGTTTTTGCTACGGAAACTCTCCAGTCAAGGCCGAACAGTTCAAGGGTTTAGGGTTTAGAGGGACGAGGTACCCTTAGGCTCCATAGTAGTTCCTTTTCGTGGTTCATGTTTAGGGTCCTACAAGGCAGTCCCAAAAAGGAACTACTATGGATATTTTATTATCATGGAACTTAGATTTTATTAGACATCGTAGGGATTTGGGCTTGCACTAGCATCCTGCAAGGTTAACGGGAGTTTCAGACACAGTCATTCGCAGAGGCCCCACCAATGTGCTTACTTACACCTCCAACACTTGAAGCAGAAGCCCTAAGCCCGAAGTGTAGGAACCTCTGCTCTTGTACCGGGGGCTTTGGGAAAGCTTTGTGCAATGTCCGATGGAGTATGGAGGAATCACACAGAGCTTCCATCACCTCTTTATTATATGAGCCTTTACAAAGCAAAGTTCTGACTCAAACAATCCCTATAGAATCCCTGCTACAACCCCTGAAAAAGCCCGTCTTTAATCCCTTGATGCCACTTTAGCTGAGCTTCTATGAAGCCCTGTCGAAATCCTATTGACGAAGCCCGTGTCTTTGAATCCCTTGAAGCCCTTTACACAAGCCTAGGCCGGCCTAAACCCTAAACCCAAAGAAGCCCATTTAAGGAGTCGAAGCCCTAAGCCCCAAAAGCCCTAAACCCTAAACCCTAAACCCTAAACCCTAAACCCCAAAAGCCCTAAAGCCCTAAACCCTAAACCCTAAACCTTACCGGCCTAAGCCCGAAACCCAATGAGGCCCATTTGAGGAGTCGAATCCCTGGTTTAGGGTTTAGGGTTTAGGGTTTAGGGTTTAGGGTCGAAACCCTAAGTCTCTAAGCCCTAGAAGCCCCTCTCAGGAGAAACTCTAGACCCAATGAAGCCCCCTTCAAGGCGAAACCCTAAGCCCCAAAAGCCCCTTTAAGTTATACTATAGGGGTTTTGGGGTATATGATACTATAATAAGAGTACTAACAATACTAATAATACTATTATTACTAGTAATAATAATACTCATAATAATGACAGTTAAGAAGCCCTTCTGAGCATCGCTTAGGAGCTTCAGGCCATTGAGATGTTTGCCTGGGCACTTCTCCGCTCCGCAGCTGCATGTTTCGCATGTTTCCAAAAAAAACCTTTTTTGAGGGGTTCTAAGGTTGAGGGTTTAGGGTTTAGGATGTTTTAGGGTTTGGGGTTTAGGGTTGAGGGTTTAGGGTTTCAAAGAAGCTCCTTTAAGTTATGAAGCGGTTCTACAAGGGTTCTACAAGATTTCTTTAGGTGGTTGAATCAGGGCGACTTTAAAGGGGTCCTTTCAAGATTCTTCGAGGATGCTGTTAAGGGCTACTATGAGTTTGTCGAAGGTTTTCGGGTTTAGGGGTTCGGGTTTAGGGTTTAGGGTTTCGGGTTTAGGGTTTAAGGTTTAAGGTTTAGGGGCTAGGGTGTTGGGGTGAGTAGCTTTGATGTCTTAGGATATAGTCGGGGGACGCGGGAAAGCGAGGTTCAATCGCCCGAAGTGGATATGCAAGGGATTTGGTTTAAGTGTGTCGCTTACTACAAAAGGCTTCGCGATGCATTTTGTGGTACGGACCCTTAACCTCATCCATACTCCAACTCCCAGACATCTTCATAAGGATTAAGGACTTCAGACCACAAGACAAGAAACCCTATTAAAGCTCATAAAGTTGTCATAAAGCCCTGCGTTTCACAAAGGATTCGGAATGCCCTAAACCCGAAACCCTAAACCCTGATTGCCCTGCGTTTCACAAAGGATTCAGGGGCCATTCGGTTAGGAGCCCCGAGCCCGAAGCATCGGTCTTGGGTTTAGGGGGTTTTACGGTTTAGGGGTTTAGGTTCCAGGGGTTTAGGGTTTGGGGGTTTAGGGGTTTAAGGTGTAGGGGTTTAGGGCTCAGGGGTTTAGGTTCCAGGGGTTTAGGGTTCAGGGGTTTAGGGTTTAGGGGTTTAGGGTTTAGGGTTTAGCGGCTTAGGTTTAGGGGTCCAGGCATCACAGCCTACAGTCAAGAAGGGCGCCCTCAAAGCCTAGACTCTCACAGCCCCGAAAGACGAAGGCCCTAATCTGAGGCTTCCCTGATGCCCCAAGGGGCCTGCAACGCGGACTGCTGAAGACCATCCGGGAGGAACTGCCGGATTTTTGAGAGGGAGGTTTGGGGCATTTAGGGCTTGCGATTCCGGCTTTAGGGACTACCCTAAACCCTAAACCCGAAGTTGGGCTTAGAGTTCTTGCTTAGGGTGGGGCTTGATGAGCTTGGGTGTGTGCGGGTAGTTCTCTAAATTAGAGTCTCTTATTAGGTCCCCAATATAGTACGGCACCCTTATAAAAAGGACCCCAAAAGGGACCCTAACTTAAAAAACTACCCATGTAATTTCTACTCTGAGAGTTTAGTTCAAGGCTTAAGCCCTACGGGAATGGCCTCTGAAGCACAGGGGCCTGAATGATTCGTAACACTGGGTGGCTTACTGTACTTACATGAAACGCCCCCCTGTGAAAGTAGTAAGGCCACTCTGATAACACAAAACGCGTACTGTTTTGGACCCATTGGGCCAGCGAAACTTCGCTCTCCCGCCTTTGACGCATACCGCATTGCAGTTGCACTTGGAGGATCAGGGGACTCAGTAAGTAGGTCGTAAGTAGAGTTACAGGTACCCGACTTGGGGTAATTTATCCACTTACAATGCTATGCTTACAGAGTCCCCCCATCCTCAGAAACACGAAGCCCCGAGGCATCGAAGCGTCATCGCCACACTCCCCAACCATAGGCAAGGGTCCAAATATCTGAGAACTCTAAGCACTAGATTGAAGTACACGTCTACTTCCCCAACACAGAAACCCGAAACCCTAAATACCCCAGACCCTAAACCCTAAACCCGAAGCCCTAAATACCCCAAGCCCTAAACCCTAAACCCGAAGCCCTAAATACCCCAAGCCCTACACGGCCCTAAACCCTAATCGTCAGAGTTGCTGACTACTTGTACCGTGCAGTCTTTCGCGGGCATTTCAGGGCCAGATCCCGATATCCTATTGATCCGAATCCTTGGCTTGCTGTGGTTTGGTTAGGGGTTTTGGTTTAGGGTTTAGCGTTTAGGGGTTTAGGGTTTAGGAGTTTACGGGTTTAGGGGTTTAGGGGTTTCGGGGTTTTGGTTTAGGATTCAGGGTTAGGGCTATTGATCCGAATCCTTGGGGTTGCTGTAAAGGTGCCTTTATCTTTAGTGCGCTTAGTAAGGTTTAGGGGTTTAGGGGTTTAGGGTTTAGGGTTTAGGGTTTATTATGTTTTTTTAGTATATACAAACTCCAGAGGATTCTTCGGGTCGTTTCTTGCTATGAATCGACATCAATTTGGGGTTGCCATAAGGCTTACTAACACAGAGGGTTCCTTGAAGCTACCAGAAGGCTGTCTACAAGACCAAGTCCCAAAAACCCTTCTTTTTTTTGTTAAGCTGAAGCCCTGAAGGAAAGAAACCCGAGCCCGAAACCAAAGAAGATATCGACCAAACTCTGCTCTCTCCTTTAAAGGGTTTCGGATTTAGGGTTTACGGTTCACCGCCGAAACACCTACAATAGTCCGCCAGAGCCGTCCTAAAGCGAATATTGACCCCTGATCCCGCCAAACCGCACAGCCGATTTGTAACCCCGAAGGCCCCAAACTGTAAAACCCTAAACCCCCAAAACCCTAGACCCTAAACCCCTAAAGCCCTAAACCCCTACACCCTAAGCCCTAAGCCCTAAACCCTAAGCCCTAAGCCCTAGACCCCCAATTTCAAACTTCGAGGAGCAGTCCCACTGCCGCCTTTACCTCGATCGCATCGCAGCCTTGGCCCCCGGCAGCGCGCCTTTGGGCCCAGCGCCTTTGTCAGGCCTCGAGAAAATGCTTAGGGATTAGGGATTTGGGGTTTAGGGGTTCAGGGTTTAGGGTTTTGGGGTTTTTAGGGTTTAGGGGTTTAGGGTTTAGGGGTTTAGGGTTTAGGGTTTTAGGGTTTAGGGTTTAGGGCTTGGTAGGTTTAGGGCTTACCGTGTATGAGGTCTAAGGTTTCTACTGTTTAACTAGGGCTTGTAGGGTCTAGGGTTTAGGGTGTGCCCTATGTGGTAATCCGGGGGGGACGGGGGCGAGAACGGTTAGTTTTACTGGTGTAGTAAGACGTTTCATCGAATCAGGTTTTACCAGAAAGGCCTTGAACATTCAGAGCAATTGTTATTTGTACAGGGTTGCCGTAGGGTTTTATAGGAATGTACATTGGGGTCTTAACCTCAATAGAATAGGTCGTTCTTACACCGATCCGATTTTCAGGGTCGAGTATACGGGCCTCAGGAATTACCAATACCATTTTGGGGGTT